TGCCACGACACTCAGCCTGGGCAACACAGTAAGACCCCGACTCAAAAAATAACTAATTAATTAAAAATAAAAAATAAATAAGATATTAAAAAGTCAAGCGCCTCAGTGCCCAACATCCTGTGCCAGGCATGGTTCCCCCATCTGGTCACCCCAGTGCCTTCCCATTCCTAGATCCTGCCCAGGCTTCAAGAGAGCTCAAGACCCAGGCTTCCACAAAGCCCCTCCTGGCTGCGCTAACCCACAGGGCTTCCCCCTCTGGCCCCTCCGAGGTCTTTGGCTTTTACTTGGTATTCACCATACACTGATCATGTGGTTATATGGTTGTATTTTACAAAACTAACTAAGGTACAGGCAGCTTGGATGAAGGGAAGAATCCCACATTTCTTTGTGTATATAACCCTAAGTGGCTACTACTTTGTAGGAATTGGGTGAATGAGTGATTTGCTTTGTGTTTCAAAAGGACATAAATGGCTCAAAGCAAACCCATTATCATTTTTTTTTTTTTTTTTTTTTTTGACAGGGTCTTGCTCTGTGACCAAGGCTGCAGTGCAGTGGCATGATCATACTCACTGCAAGCTCGAACTTCTGGGTTCAAGCGATCCTTCTGCCTCAGCCTCCTGAGTAGTTGGGACTACAGGCATGTGCCACAGTGCCTAGGTATGACTATCATTCTCTCCAAGCAAACCCCCTTCAGATCAATACTCCCTCACAGTGTAGAGATGTAAAGGCTCAGACTTCAGACCTAGACTAAGTAGACTTACAGTAAAATCTGCCATTTACTGGTTGTGTGGCTTTAAGGAAGTTACTTGAGCTGGGCGTGGTGCCTCATGCCTGTAATCCCAGCACTTTGAGAGGTGGAGGTGGGAGGATTGCCTGAGCCCAGGGGTGCAAGACCAGCCTGGGCAATTTGGCAAGACCTTGTCTCTACAATAAATTTTTTTAAAAAATTAGCTGGGTGTGGTGTTGCACACCTGTGGTTCCAGCTACTTGGAAGGCTAAGGTGGAAGGATCACCTGAGCCCAGCAGGTCGCCAAAAAGAAGTTACTTGACCTCTCTGTGCTTCAGTTTCCTCACACAACTGGGGATAATCAAAGTACCTGTACTTTTTAGGGTAGTAATGAGGATGAAATAATACATGTACAGCATTTTGAATGGGGTCTGGCATGGTATTATTTATTATTATTATTATTGTTGTTACTATCTTCATTAAGGTCAACTCATCCAGAAAGTCCGAAAAAGCACTTTGCAAAGTGTCCTGAGCCTATATAGGAACATCAGTACATACAAAACATTTTCTCTCCTTCTTCATTCATCTGGCCCCTTAGATTGTGCAAAAGGGAAACAGTTAACAAGCTTCCACACCAAAAAAGACATCTGTATCCTCTAAGCTATCTATCAGTTGCCTCCCTATATTATAAAATCTGCAATTCTACTGACTGTCTCTTCTACCTCTGCAAAGCTGTAAGTGCATACACAATGCAAAAAAACATACATCTAGGCCAGGCGCAGGGGCTCACTCCTGCAATCCCAGAACTTTGGGAGGACGAGGTGGGATGATTGCTTGAGGTCAGGAGTTCAAGATCAGCCTGGGCAATATAGCAAGACCTCGTCTCTCTAATCTCTCTATATATATCCCCAGTGGACTGAAAGAGGAAAGGAAGGTCTTAAGCGAAACTGATTTGCCATGAAATATATCAGAGCTGTCCAGAGCCATCACACTCCCCGCTTTCCCATGAAATACCTGCTTCTGTTATGTTCTTCAGTCTGATCCAGGCATTATAGAAGCAGAAAGCCCTGTCTCAAATCCACCAGGTATGATTACACATCTTCTCATCAAAATGGCACATTAGCCATCAAGGTGTTTCCCTCTTGCTCGTTCTCTCTCTCTCTCTCTCTCTCTCTCTCTCTCTCTCTTGCTCTCACTCTCAGTTTTTTTTTTGGTTTTTTTTTTGCTACTACTTTTCAATTAGATTTTAAGATCTGCTAAAAGGCAAATAACACTTCAATAATGAGACAAAATGAAACTGCTGACAGACAATAATAACAGAGAGAATGGGCAATTCAAACTCACACACTGGCATTCAGAAACAACAACAACAAAAAAGGTCAAACAACTTTCTTTCAGGGTACTTCCACCAGTGCAGTGGCTCACACCTGTAAACCCAACACTTTGGGAGGCTGAGGCAGAAGGATCATGTGAACCCAAGAGTTTGAGAGCAGCCTGGGCAACATAGCGACACCTCGTCTTCTACAAATAAAAAAATTAATTAGTTGGGCACAGTGGTGTGTTTCTGTAGTTCCAGCTACTTGGGAGGCTGAGGTGGAAGAATCATCTGAGCTCAGGAGATTGAGGCTGTGGTGAGCCTAGATCATGCCACTGCACTCCAGCCTGGGCAACAGAGTGAGATCCCAACTCAAAAAAATTTTTTTTTTTTGCAAAGAGGGGAATATTCTGCCTTCCTATCTCATAAACCAACTCCTGCCAGCTGGCTTTCCCTCAGTCTGTGCCTGCATACAACCCCTGGTCTGAGTCTGCTGAAACTTTAATGGCGATCTGGTTTCTTCTGTTTAAACTCAGGCTAAGAGCTTCTGATTTCATGTAAAATCTGGACATACAACCTGGCTCCTCCTCTTCCCAGCTACATGACACCGTGCGAGTTACCTAATCTCTCTGTATCCCATTTCACCATCTAGAAAATGGCAAAAAAGAATCATGTACCTACCTCAGTCGTGATTATGTGAGCTCATTAAATAAGAATACCCTTAATTAGTTTTATATTTTCTAATTGCAGCTCAGTGCCTGGCTGGACTGCACACTCAATAAATGGTAATTACTATCACTCTCATCTGTGTGTGCAATTCAGTCACCAAAACCAACAGGCTAATCACTTTCACGTCAATGCTTTTCTTGTTGAGACCTGCCAGTCTCCAGAATTGGTCCAACAAATTAGTTTTATGTGGCTCATTACAGAACAGACACCAAAGCGAATTATAACAAAATAGAGCAAATTAAGCTTCCAAATGTATTAAGTAACCCTGACAGTAAACACTAAGATGCTGGTATGGAGACCCACTACCTTTATTTAACGACATCCCGACCAAGTCATTTGCCTCTTTTCATCTCCAATCTCATACTCAGATGGCCTCCAAGAAGCATAGTGTATTTCTATACTTTAAAAAAAAAAAGTTAAGCTGGGCTTGGTGGCTCACACCTGTAGTCCTAGCACTTTGGGAAGCGGAGGAGAGAGGATTGCCTGAGCCCCTCACAGGTTCAAAACCAGCCTGGGCAACTTGGTGAGACCTCGTCTCCACAATAAATCAAAAACTTAGCCAGGCGTGGTGGCACGCATCTGTGGTTTCAGTTACTTGGAAGGCTGAGGCAGAAGGATCGCCTGAGCCCAGCAAGTTGAGGCTGCGGTGACCATGAGCATGCCACTGCACTCCAGTCTGGGCAACAGAGTGAGATTACACATTAAAATATCTGCAATAGGCAAAATTAAATACCTCTCAAGCAGCCCATGTCAGCAGTGCAACCTGTAACCTCTATCTGGAAGGCCTATTTATTTTGTAATCAAGAAAAATAATCCTTTCTTGAAATTCTTATTTAGGGACAGGCATGTAAATATAATCTATGCATGTAACAAAATTAAGTGGGATTAATTACTGACATATTTGTTCTCTACTTGCCTGCTCAGTTTAGTTAAGTATCTGCATCACTGACGTTACGACGCCTAACACCAGCCTAGTAAAATATAGTATAGGTAAATATATGAATGGGACCCAAAAAAAACCTGGAATTATCTTTTGGAGGGAGGGTTCCTTGTGGTACAGGCTTCTCCTGATAGGTAAGTGTTCAAGGAACCCATTGGCATCAGTGTACTAGCTAGTGTTATTGTGAGATGTCGAGTTCAGCTTCAGCGAATTTCACAATGGGTGATTTACCAGCATACCTGCCCACACCATGCTGTTCAGCAGTTTTTTTGTTTGTTTGTTTGTTTGTTTTGAGTTGGAGTCTCACTCTGTCGCCCAGACTGGAGTGCAGTGGCTGCTCCCCAGCCACCGCAGCCTCAACCTGCTGGGCTCCAGCGATCCTTCCACCTCAGCCTTCCAAGTAGCTGGAACTACAGGCGCACGCTACCATGCCCGGCTAATTTTTTGATTTATTGTAGAGATGAGGTCTCGCCAAGTTGCCCAGGCGGGTCTCGAACCCATGGGCTCAGGCAATCCACTCACTTCAGCAGTTTTTTTACCCAAAGTGTCATGACCCTCATGCCTTACCCTTCCTATTCACTCTTTTTTGTTGTTGTTTTCCCAGATGAAAAAGTACTCAAAGGAAAACATTTTGCCGATATGGAAGAGGTGAAACAAAAAACAGCAGAAGCACTGAAAGGCATCAAAATTGATGCATTAAAAAACTGTTCTGAGTAGTGGAAAAAGCATCTCCATAGGTGTACTTTGAAGGTGATTGAAGTTTAAACATGTAAGAATAAATATACAATTTTTTATAAATAAATTCCAGGGTTTTTTTGGCTGGGCGCAGTGACTCATGTCTATAATTCCAGCACTTTGGAAGGCCGAGGTGAGAGGATTGCCTGAGCCTGCAGGTTCAAGACCAACCTGGGCAACTTGGCGAGCCCTCATCTCTACAATAAATCAAAAAATTAGCCGGGCATGGGGGTGCATGCCTGTAGTTCTAGTTACTTGGAAGCCTGAAGCGGAAGGATCGCCTAAACCCAGCAGTTCGAGGCTGCGGTGGCCAGGAGCATTCCACTGCCCTCCAACCTGCATGACAGAGGGAGACTCCAACTCAAAAAAAAAATTTCCATTTTTTGGGGGCCCCCCTCCATATTATGTACCTGTCAAATATTGCATTTCCTTAAAGAACATAAATATTTAAGTTCTGCATGAACATCACATGGCCTAAATTATTCTACACTTAAGACACTGAGGAAAAACATATCCAAAAAATACAAGCATGCAATTTACATGATGCAACTTACCAGCAGTGGCTAAAGAGGAACTCATCAGGGCAAACATGGCGGCCACATAGCAGGAAGTCATTTTTATTTCTCCAACACTGTGCTCATCCAGTTACCTCAATCTGTCGTCCTTCAGAACTCAGACAATCTCTGCAAATCAGAAATGGTCTTGAATCCTTCTCTGCACTTTTCCAATTGCCTGTAGACAAATGTGAATGATAAAACTTAATGCAGAAACTTCTTTTCATAAGCAAACACACATTAAAGTTAAATGGAAGGCCAGGTGCGGTAATCCCATTACTTTGGGAGGCCAAAGTGGGAGGATCACTGGAGGCCAGGAATTCAAGACCAGCCTGGGCAACATCGCAAGACCTCGTCTCTATAAAACATCAAAAAATTAACCGAGTGTGGTAGTGCCTGTAGTCCCAGCTACTCAGGATGCTGAGGTGAAAGGATCACCTGAGTCTAGGAGGGTGAGGCTGCAGTGAGCTGTGTCATGCCACTGCACTCCAGCCTGGGTGACAGAATGAGAACCGACTCAAAAAATAAAAAAATTAGCCAGGCTCGGTGGCTCAGCCTGTAATCCCGCGCCTTTGGGAGGCTGAGGTGAGTGGATTGCCTGAGCCCGCGGGTTCAAGACCTGCCTGGGCAGTGGGACCTCATCTCTACAATAAATAAAAAAATCAGCCGGGCGTGGTGGCGCATGCCTGTAATGCCGGCTACTTGGAAGGCTGAGGCGGAAGGATCGCCGGAGCCCAGCAGGTCGAGGCTGCGGTGGCTGGGAGCAGCCACTGCACTCCAGTCTGGGTGACAGAGTGAGAGTCCATCTCAAAAAAAAAAAAAAAAAAAAATTAAATGGAGAATTTCTGAAAAGTGTAAGATAAGTAATTTATCTTAAAAGATGCCAAGACAGCACTCAAGCAAACTAGAGTGGGCATGGTGACTACCTAATAGAGACCTTTATTTTTGAGTCAGTCTCACTCTGTCGCCCAGGCTGAAGTGCAGCCTTGACCTGCTGGACTTAGGCAATCCTTCTGCTTCAGCCTTGCAAGTAGCCAGAACTACAGGCGTGCAGCACCATGCCCGGTTAATTTTTTGATTTATTATAGAGACAAGGTCTCACCATGTTGCCCAAGGGCTCAGGCAATCCTCTCGCCTCCGCCTCCCAAAGTGCTGGAATTACAGGCATGAGTCACCGCACCCAGCCCCTAATAGAGACTTTTATAGCAAATACTTTCGCAAATGACATGCTTATTTTTGACATTTTAAATCTTTGGTTTTATAGAGAATTTTCAGGAACATACAGAAAATTGAGGTACACCTGAACTACAACATCACCAGTTATGCTGCAGTACTAATCAATGGCACTTGATACGTGCGTCCTAGTGCCCACAAGAAAACACAGACAGCTCTGATTAGAGACTCAATCTAATGTTATAATGACGGGTTATCACAAGGATCAAATTACATTACACTGAGAATCAGTCTGAAAAAATAAACATAAAAAGGCAGCAGGGTTCTTATTTCAACTATTTGCTGACATTTTAACAGGAGAAAAGTCACCCTTGCCTCTCAGCCCCATCTGAGACTATCTGGTTATGGATCTAGGGGATCCAGGAGACGCTTTCTAACCTTTTCCTACCCAGTCTTGAATGAGAGTTTTGAGTGGTTTGCTAAACTTGAATATCCCTCCCCTCACCCTTATGGTTGCCTCATTTAGATATGCCAAAGTTTATTTTCCAGCCCTCTACCAGAGCCTGGCATGACTCACAGATGCTGTTTGATTCAACAAACATTTATTGAGCACCTAATATGTTCCAGGCACAGTTCCTTCTCATCAGGAATAAGAGTTATCCAACAACTGGACAAAGGTGCAAAGACCCTGCCTAAGCTAAGTCCTGGCAAAGCCAGGATGGTGGGGTTTCCAGGAGCCATCTCAAACACCTGGGGGTTGCAGCCTTGGTATCCTCACCCAGGAAATACCCATCCACAGAACCTGCTCACTACAGACAAAGCCAGATTGGGCACTTGAAGATATGGTAAAAAAAAAATTTATAAAAACACATCCAGGTGCTGCAGCTCATGCTTATAATCTCAGCACTTTTTGGAGGTTGAGGTGGGAAGACCGCTTGAGTCCTGGAGTTCGAGACCAGCCTGGGTAACATAGCAAGACCTTGTCTCTACAAAAAAATTAAAAAACTAGCCAGGCGTCATAGCATCCTCAGCTACTTGGGAGGCTGAGGCAGAAGGATCACTTGAGCCCAGGAGGTCTAATCTGCAGTGAGCCATAATGGTGCCACTGCACTTCAGCCTGGGCGACAGAGTAAGACTCCAACCCCAAATATTTTTTTTAATAAATAAGTAATAAAAACAATAGAAAAATGAGTTTCTAATTCAATGACCTTAGTTCACTGTATCAAGTATTAACAGAATGATATTTAAAATGGCTCTCTGCAGTTGTAACACTAACAGCCTATGAGAAGGGAGGGAACAGGTGACCAGGTAGCAGGTAGGAGGGAGAAAGGACCTCTCCACTGAATTTCCTTCTGGGTTGTGGACAAGTTTTACCTATCCAGAAATAAAAACAATATGAAGCTGTAATTTCAAAAATAATTTCTCAGATGTACCTTAAAACTAAATGATTATATAAACAGGAGACATGGTGGTTCAATCCAGGTTTATGATAGTGATGGAAAGCCTAGTATGAATATAATATGGGTTAGGATAGTAGTTTAAAACCTACCCAGGTGGGATTCCACTCTGCCACCCACTGGGGGGGGTAACGTCAGGCAGATGACTCTTTGTGAAGGAGCCTATCCTATGGCAGGGCAAGTAGGCTGTTGTGAGGATTCAGTTAGCTAATATGCATATACAACGCTTACAACAATACCTATAAACAAAATAAGCATTCAATAAATATTAGCCTTTTTTTTTTTGTCACCTTTTTTTCACATCACGACAGCCATGACCTCCTAGGCTCAGGTGATTCTTGTGCCTCAGCCTCCCAAGTAGCTGGGACTACAGACACCAACACACCTGTAATTTATTGATTTTCTTTGTGGAGACAAGATCTTGCTATGTTACTTGGGCTAGTCTCAAACTCCTGAACTCAAGCAATCCTCCTGCCTCAGCCTCCCAAAGTGCTGAGATTACAGGCGTGAGCCACCATATTCAGTCGATGTTAGCCATTATTACCATACTGTATATCACTACCTGTCCATTTATACGGATAAAGTGGAGAAATTAGGGTGTGGCTATTTGTGTAAGTCTTAGCTACAGTAAAGCCAGATCCATCTTTTGTTTATTGCAAAATAATTATCACAACAGACAAATAAAAAGAGATAACCTAAAGAGTGGAATCACGAAAAGAAAAAAATGGCCAGTCAAGCTGCGGTACAAGTCACAGTGGCACAATGATCCTGTCTCAAAAGTTGACTAAATTCTAGAGATAGTTTGAGAGCTATTACATTGACTGTAATCATTCTTTAAAGTCCAACATTTCTGTCACCCTTAGTCCACATCACCACACATTAGATGGAAATCTCTGTTAACTTACAAATATAACAACCAGAAAGATAATTTATCCCTATTTTTTCCCTTCAAAAAGTTAGATTTCCTCGACCAGGCACAGTGGCACATGCCTGTCATCCCAGTTATTTAGGAGGCTGAGGTAGGAGGATCGCTTGAGCCTAGGAGTTTGAGGCCGGCCTGGGCAATATAGCAAGCAAGACCTTGTCTCTTAAAAAAATGTGTGTGTGTGTGTGTGTGTAATGAATTGATTAAGAAGAAACCTCTCTAGAAGAATTTGCTATTTCAGCAAATGCTAAAGATAAGTTTATAAAGCAAAGCCTTGTAAGGAGATCTGAAAAGAAGATGGCTTCCCAGAGGATTTCTACAGGACACATCAGCTGGAAGTGACACGAGGCTTGTGGGAATATTTAATGAGTTTGCGTCACCCATGCCACAGCTGCAGAGGGACTGAGGGTCTGGGCTGCATTAATCCAGGGGCTTAACCAGGTCTGAACCAACCTGTGGAAAAGAAACGCAAATGGGTCTATTAAAAATATAGACTGCAAATTGCTGACAAGAATATTGGGCCATTATTAAAATGCAGTAATTACAGATATAAAAGAGCCAAGCCAAACAGTTTGATGCCCAAGGCAAACCACAGCAAGTTTACACCGGATCTTAAAACATCTCCGAGGAAGTCCTGGACAAGTTGAAACGACACACTGCTATTTGTAACAAAAAGGGAGCTCTTCTTCTTCTCGTTTAAAAGTCCCTCCATAATGGAACTTGTCTGAAAAGAAAATAAACTGCAGAGGGTTTTTTGTCTAATCTTCCCTGGGGTGACAGGTCTCTGAGGCAGGGAAAGATGGAAGGCGAGAGTGTCATTCCCGTTCAGCTGAGCTCCAGTCTGGGACACAACTTGTACCCATCAGAGCTGTCACACACGACTTAGGGATCGGTTCCCTAATTGGCAGAATACTGGATGACTGGAGGCTTCCAGAAAGTTGGAGCTTTGAAACAGAGCTAGTAAAATACAAACTCCTCTTTCTTCTGGGAGGTTCTAACACACTGACTTTGCAAAGACCAGGGACTCCTGACCTCGGCTCTTTGACCTTCCTGCATCTCTGGACTTGAGGAACTAAATGCTTCCTTTAGAAACATAAATAGGGTTCTCTGAGACTGTGAAAGAACAATTTGGGGTCTACTGTGGCAGAGTCTTTTTGCGACCACATTTCAAAGTAATGTGTTCCATTTAGAGAGGAGAACACTTGGTGTCCACAAATTAACAGAAGAAAATTCTGAATGAGAACTTAATGGGTTAAAAAAAAAAAAAAACAGATGAATGTGCTGCTAATTCTACTAATTTCAGAGTTCGGCTGTGTTTATTTCTGAGGCCATTAAGCTGAACAACACTCCACATCTCTTCATGATTTGACAGAGGGCACAGGGAAAGACCAGGATTAGCTGAAAAACCCTGTCTAAATGAAGTTTTAAAACCATCACAGGTTAAACCAGTGTTGGAAAGGAATTGCTGGGAACAATATTCCCTGAGTTGACCTCTTTGTTTTGTTTTGTTTTTGAGTTGGAATCTCACTCTGTCACCCAAGCTGGAGTGCAGTGGCATACTCCCGGCCACCGTAGCCCCTATCTGCTAGGTTCAGGCGATCCTTCCACCTCAGTCTTCCATGTGG